ACAACCCTCTCGAGGCCCAAAGGCAAAAGGCTGCTCGTGTGAGGGTCCATAGGGTGAAAGGCACAAATCAAAGGGGCCATAAGGCAACTAAAACCCTCGGGGTCAGTGGAAAAGGGGCCCGTAGCTGCCACAGTCCTGCGTCATCAAGGGTAAGTAATTTCACACCATACACTGTGGAACTTCTCAAAATTACTGCTCTAATTCAATGAATTTCTTTTTCAGTATCTTTGGGTGGGGTGGGGCTGATCACCATGTGGCCTAGTATATCAACCCAGGAATGATGAACCTTGCAACTCACCAGATTCAGATAAACAAACCCACATAAAAGGCCACGAAATAAACTAAATTTTATGATCATAACAGTTTGTCAGTTGTATGTGAAGTGAAGGAAATTCCACAGTATGAGGTTTGCTGCAATGCAGCCTCAGTGACCTTAGAAGATTATTTACTGTTGTTATGTGATCTGTGTATGTGTATGTATTAAGATATGTCACACATAGTTCATATTCAAGAAGTCCCAAGTTTGATTCTCATCCTGAAGGTGTCTTGTCTTGAACAAGATCCTTCCATGATTTTCCTCCATCCTCCAGGCAAACGCCGAGATAGTTCCTTATACATACCCTAATGACATCCCTGCAGATCCTTCCCAATTTGTAGTTTCCATTCGTCTTTGAATTCGACGCTGTATGTACTATGTAAACTCAGCAACAGTTATTAAATAAGCTGAGAATTATATCTTTTTTGACACTTACTGCTTTGTATTTTGGGTAAAATTGTCTCTTGTATTATTTAGCCTTAACTTAGCAGACTGGTAATTTTCCATACCACCTAGGACTAGGCTTTGAAATAAGGGGGCTGATGAAGCATTACTTTATTGTTTGCAGATATTGGCAATGGAGGATGTTGACACCAGTCCATGCCCTCAGTCCATGGGTGATGTCAGCACTGCAGTAAATTGTGCCTATGCGACCTTGATGCATGACCAGCAATTGCCACATGTGCACGCACCTGGATTCGAAATTACCAGCATATTGAGGGAGAGTCCTGATGTTGCCACTCTGATAGAATTTGTTCAACTGGAGCTCCCAAAATGGGATTTTTTGTTTAAATTAAATTTAATAAATGCTCACTATGTAGACTCAGCAACAGTTATTAAATAAGCTTAGAATTATTTCTTTTTTGACACTTGCTGCTTTGAGTGAAATTGTCTCTTTTATTTATTAGCCTAAACTAAGCAGACTGTTGCCGGTCACGGTAGCCGAGCGGTCTAAGGCATGCACTGTCTTCGCTCGCTCGCTCGCTCGGAAGCCGGGATCGTGGGTTCGAATCCCACTCAGGGCATGGATGTTTGTGTGCGATTTTCAGTGTTTGTCTACAGGTAGAGGCCTTGCGACGAGCTGATCACTCGCCCAAGGAGTCCTACCGAATGTGTAAGATCTAGTAAACGGAAGTGAAACGGAGAGTTTCATGGAGGTAGGCCTAGGTCTAAATTGGAGCTGTAGTGCCACAGAAAAAAAAAGCAGACTTTTAATTTTCTGTACCACCTAGGACTATATTTTGCAATAAGGGGGCTGATGGAAGCATTGTTTTATTGTTTGCAGATATTGGCAATGGAGGATATTCACACCCGTCCATGAATTATGTCAGCACTGCAGTAAATTGTGACTATGCGACCTTGATGGATGACCAACAATTGCCATATGTGCACGCACCTGGATTAGAAATTACCAGCATACTGAGGGAGAATCCTGATGTTGCCACTCTGATAGAATTTGTTCAACTGGAGCTCCCAAAATGTGATTTTTTTGTTTAAATTAAATTTAATAAATGCTCACTATGTAGACTCAGCAACAGTTATTAAATAAGCTTAGAATTATTTCTTTTTTGACACTTGCTGCTTTGAGTGAAATTGTCTCTTCTATTTATTAGCCTAAACTAAGCAGACTGTTGCCGGTCACGGAAGCCGAGCGGTCTAAGGCATGCACTGTCTTCGCTTGCTCGGAAGCCGGGATTGTGGGTTCGAATTCCACTCAGGGCATGGATGATTGTGTGCGTTTTTCTGTGTTTGTCTGCAGGTAGAGGCCTTGCGACGAGCTGATCACTCGCCCAAGGAGTCCTACTGAATGTGTAAGATCTAGTAAACGGAAGTGAAACGGAGAGTTTCATGGAGGTAGGCCTAGGCCCAAATTGGGGCTGTAGCGCCACAGAAAAAAAAACAGACTGTTAATTTTCCGTACCACCTAGGACTAGATTTTGAAAAAAGGGGGCTGATGGAAGCATTGTTTTACAGTTTGCAGATATTGGCAATGGAGGATATTCATACCCGTCCGTGAATTATGTCAGCAGTGCAGTAAATTTTGACTATGCAACCTTGATTGATGACCAGCAATTGCCATATGTGCACGCACCTGGATTCGAAATTACCAGCATACTGAGGGAGAATCCTGATGTTGCCACTCTGATAGAATTTGTTCAACTGGAGCTCCCAAAATGTGATTTTTTTGTTTAAATTAAATTTAATAAATGCTCACTATGTAAACTCAGCAACAGTTACAAAATTAATAGAGTCCGTCGAGTGTAACAATTTGTAGGTCACTTTTTATTATTATTTCTGCCTTACATGTTTCGGTTTGACACAACCATCATCAGAGGCACTTGCTATAATTATGGAAACACTGTCGCTGTTTTTTGATGTTCACAATTTTGTTTGTCGTGTGGACGTTGCTACGATATGTTGATGTGTAAAAGCACAAAACATGCTAAGATAGTTGAGTACACTCTCAAGTTCTCACTTTTCATCCGAACCTATTTTTAAGTTAAAACGCTAAAATGTTAAAATATTTGATATAAAATGCTGAACTCCTCCTTGTTAATTCATCCCGAAGATGGGAGACGTCAGCTTGAGGTTGTATGGCTTATGGTTTGATATGTTCCTGTGTACTGTGTGCAGTACAGAGCACAGCACAGACCCACCCCCAAGGTAAGGAAGAGTAATAAATCTTAAGGTAATAAAAATGCAAATCATGTGTTTAATTCTTCAGATGTAATGCATCATTCAAAGTTTCATTAGT